ATCGGTTAATTAGGTGTTTCATTTTGGGTTTTGCTTTTCTGTTTTTCTGAGACAGGGTTTCTCTGTGTAGCCTTGGCTGTCCTGGATACCCTTTGTAGACCAGGCTGTCCTGGAACTTACAGAGATCTTCCTGCCTCCCCCTCCCCAAGAGCTGGGTTTGTTCGTTTTTCTAAGAGGAACTCTGCTTTTCCTCTTGAGTAGCAAAATTATTTGTGGGCTTTTATATTGTAAATATTCTTTGATCAATATGTGTGTGTTTCATTTCTCCATCTCTGGCCCAGGGAGCAATTCTTGGGGACTCTTCTGTCTTTTGACACTCTTAGTTCTTGGCAGTTAGTATGCTGTTTTCATTTGCAGGAGAGACAAAATTGAGTCTTGGACGCAGTAGCTGGAGCCTGTTTCCCAAGCTTCCCCTTTCTTCACCCCCTCTCTAAGCCCACCAGACTTAGAAACTGCCTACTCCCACCGCACTCCCCTGCTTTGCTTTGTACGGAAAGGGAAAAGGCGAGAGCAGAAAGCACCCAGCCTTGATAGCATGGCAGTTTGCCGTGGGTTCCACCTGCACTCTGAACAGTTAATCAGTGGTGCAAGAAGGACCACATGTCTACCGCCCCTTTCTCACAGTTCCTCAGTATCACAGAAGTAGCTGGTACCTGAGAGGCCTGTAATACGGAAATCAGGGTCATGTCTGCTCTCTTGTCACATCTGATTTAATGACTAATTTTGAAAGTCATTTATTTCCTACTAACATTGCAGTCAGGTGTGTTCCCTCATCGTGGGCATTAGGGTCACAAGGTACAGTGATGAGTGCTAATAATTTCAGGTACCTTAACTGAGTAGTGGGGATGTTGTTGAGAATCTGTTATACTGAAAGGGCTTCCTTTGAGTAGCATCAGGCTTTCCAGGGTGGAATAATTTTGCGGTCTGTGCTAAAGAAGTCCTGGCTCAGTTCTATTGCCCTTTATACTTTTTAAAAATGCTGCTTCCTTTTACACCAAGTCTGAACACGGAATGCACCCTTCTACCCGTGTCCACTTAAGTACGTGATGGGAAAGCTCCAGTTCCCATTGTTTTGCTGATTTAATGTCTTCCTTCAGAGCATTATTTGTTTGCGCTGTGTATATGAATCTGGCATTTATTTCTTAAATGATCAGGGGACAGAATTAAGATTTGGGCTGGAGAGATAGTTCGGTAGGTACAGACACATCCATCAGTCACGTAACAGCTCATTACCATCTGTAACCCCAATTCCAGGGTCTCCAGTGGCCTCTTCAGACCTCCACCAGCCCCGGGCATGCACGTGGTGCACGTACATTCATGAGGGCAAAACACGTACAATAAAAAACCTAAAGATGATATAATTTTGTATTTGGTTGAAAATACCTCCTGGAGAACGTAGTTTCCAAGATATGTGGTGACGATGACTTGCCAGGCTGGCAGTCGACGAGAAGAGTAAGACTTCCAGGCGCTTTGTTCTGGAGAAAGCTCACATACCATCTTTGGGGTTGCTCCGCTGATCATGGTGAGACAACCCAGTTTGACTTGATGTTAATGCCTGGCAGTTTTCTCTTGCAAGCAAAGGGAGAAAGGGGAAATAGTTGTTGGCTTTTGACCAAAATAGACTAGTGAGCTAGCACATTTCTCTCACCCACCCTGTTTTGACCAGGCGTTCCTATTTAAAAGAAAAATTGCTTTGGACTTTAGAAAATGTAATCTTTAAGGTACTTGTGTGAGGTCATAAAGGTCTGGCCAAAAAGCCAAGTGATTCATGAAAATTTCATTTGACAGCCTGGAGGTTATCTGCCACCTAGCATTGTTACCTGGTTAGCATATATGCACCCAACTTTTGGTCAAATGTTACCTGTTTTAGGTGTATCCTCTTTATAAAAAAATGAAACTGGTTAAAAATTAATAAGATATTTCTTAAGATAGTGTAAGCACGTCTTTTAAATCCATAGTAATTGTTTTGTATTAGCTACTATAAGAGAGGTAGCTGGGGTTGGAGAGATGGCTCAGCAATTCAGAGTGCTGGCTGCTCTTTCAAAGGACCTGGGTTTGATCCCCAGCACCCACATGGTGGGTGGCACACATATTATGTGTGTGTGTGTGTGTGTTAGCTAGACAGTATTAAAGGAAGGTTGCCAAATAGTACATGGCTTTTTCTCTAAATCATAGGAGCGTCTAAGAAGCTTTGAGAAGCCCAGCTGTTCACAGGAGCTCACACTGCTTACTCCCACAGTTATGGGGACCACATAGTTTCTTCGCTGTGCTTCAGCAACTTGGGGCACCACAATCTGCTGTGGCGCTCCTGAGTACAGGTCTCAGAAATCCGAGAGAAGCTGGCTTGTGCTGCGCATCACTCCTAGATTCTTGGCACACTGGTTCATGGCTCCCTTTGCTAATGGCCTCTAATGTACTTCTCAGTCCATCCTTCAAGTACTCCCTACAAAGAGTCTATCTAGGTTGCCACTGCAGATGAGAATAAAATCTTTATTGTTAACAGAGGAAATGGAACTAAAATACTTTTAAAATTATCTGCTTGAAATGACAGAAGCCTGGCATGGTGGCACACGCTTTTAATCCCAGCACTTGGGAGGCAGAGGCAGGAGGATCTCTGGGAGTCCAAAGCCAGTCTTGTCTGCAGAGTGAGTTCCAGGAGCCAGAGCTACATAATAGAGAGATGCTAGAGAGGGGATGGGGAGGCCAGGAAAGGGGAACATATTCCCTAGAGCTAGATTTACAGCCATTGTGAATCTCCCAACATGTATGTTGGGACCCTAACTTAAGTGCTCTTAACTGAGCCATCTCTCCAGCTTGCCTTGTTTTGCTTTTTCGTTTGTGAAGTGAAGAGGCCATGCCTCCTTCAGCATCCTGAAGAGTGAATGATTTTATGTAGTATTCTGTCTACTGTCTAGCTTAATACTTCCCAACTTTTTATCTCAGCACCCTTTTGTATTCCTAACAGCTACTGAGGACCTCACTGAGGTTCTGTCTACCTAGGTTATATATATTAGAAATTAAAACCAACCAACTTTGTAAATATTTATTTCCAAGATTGATAATAAACAGTTCACTGTATTAATATAAATACCATGTGTGAAAAACACCAGTTTTCTTTTTATTATTTCTTAGGTTAGCACACAAAGTACTGGTTTTCATTATGACTTGGCTCTTCTGTGTGTGTGTGTGTGTGTGTGTGTGTGTGTGTGTGTGTAGGTGTGTTTCATTACCCTCTATTCTTCTTTGTGCCCCTCCTCTACCTCCTTCTTTCATCCCCAGCCCTGCCCCTGCTTTCCTGGCCCCCTTCTTCCCTTCTTCCCATAAACAGCCACACTTCTGCTTTCGTGTCATATGTATTCTATCACCTTCTCTTTTCTAAAAATAACTCCCCCCAAAATATAGAATAGTAGTTTATCTGCTTCTGCATTCATTCAGTTATAATATCACCCATTATTCAAATTCTGCGGAGTTCTGATATGTATGGATAACATAATGAGGGTTTTTTTAAATAAGCAAGCACATTCGCTAGTAATAGTTTGAAACTGTTTTTAAACGTTTATTTTATCTGTTCGTATGGTATTTTGCCTGCATCCATGTGTGCCTGAGGAGGGTGTCAAAGCCCCTGGAGCTAGAGTTACCGGTGGCTGTGACCCATCACGTGGGTGCTAGGAATTAAGCCTGGATCCTCTGCAACAACAGCCAGTGTTCTTGACTCCTTAGCTTCTCCCTAGCCCTGAAAGTGTTTCTTACTTCCTGGGCCACTGAGAGGGTCATGGGCCCCCAGACCATTTGAAAATGATTGCTTAAACCACTAGTTAGTACCCAGTGAGTTGGGTCATGGCTTCAAACTTATTATTGTTCACTTTGTCGGCGGATACCAAGGAAGAGGTTCAGGGGGACAAGAGCAACAGTGACTCTTACATAGATAAATGCGTGTCACTCTGGTAATCACTTCTAGGAGATACTGCATAGATAAATGATACCACCACAGAAATAAGTGAATTTGGATCAGCGACTTGGATCTTGCATTCAGGCATTGGTTAATTAAGTACATGTCACAAAGTCTTCATGTTGTTTCTCCAGGAGTCTTTTCTTCTCCTAGGGTAATAGACCGTAGAGGGAGTAGTAATTAAATATTTCCTCTGCTAAAAGCTAGTCTGAGGTGTAAGAGAAGGGTGTGTTCACACCGTTCAGCAGGCCAGGCTCCATAACTGACAGGGTAATCTTGCCTTACTGGTGTGAGAGGCTGACTCTCAAACATTTACCACTATTGAATTAAAGCTCTTCTGAAGGTGTTGAGATGGGCCTTGACTGCAAAGACCAAAATCACGAGCAACGTAACAGAGAGCTTACCCTAGGTTTCTTTTTATTTAATATAAATGTTTTTTTTTCTTTTCTTTTTTTAATGTTGTGTGTGTGTGTGTGTGTGTGTGTGTGTGTGTGTGTGTGTGTGTGTTTGTATGGAGTGCATGTAATCACTACACATCATGTGCCATCATGTGCCACCATGTGAATGCCACAGCACACACGTAGAGGTCTAAAGACAACCAGCAGGACTTGCTTGGTTCCTTCCTTCTACCACGTGGGTTCCAGGGATTGAACTTAGGTCATCAGGCTTGGCAGACAGCAGCTTTACCCACTACTGAGCTATCTTGCCAGCTTGCTTTAAGAATAGATTTTATTCTGTTCACATAGCTATATGAACATACTTTATATTTGCCAGACATATACTTAATTTTTATTATGTTTATTTTATGTGTAGTAGCATTTTACCAGCATGGATGTGCCCATGGAGGTCAGAGAGGGCATCAGGTCCCTTGGATCTGGAGTTACAGATGGTTGTGAGCCATCACATGGGTACTGTGAAACAAACCCAGGTCCTCTGCAAGAGCTGCAAGTAGTCTTCGCCGCTAGACAGCTCTCCAGCCCCGTACATGTAGTTTATAAACATCTAATACAAGTTTTTCCTTCCGCTTTTTCTTCGGGGTGTGCCGGGACAGACCATGGGGAACTCATATGCCGGGCAACTGAAATCCGCCAGATTTGAGGAAGCATTGCACAATTCCATAGAAGCCTCGCTCCGGTGTAGTAGTGTGGTGCCGAGGCCAATCTTCTCCCAGCTCTACTTGGACCCGGACCAGCACCCTTTCTCCTCTGCAGGTAAGTGTCCCAGTGGCATGCATTTCCTGACTGCTTTCAAAGGGGGATTCCAAGTCCTAGGAACTTGAGCATATTAAAAACGCTAGTCTCGCTGTCCTCAAAGGTGTCTCTCAGAATCTCTCTTGTAATCTATCTTCCACTAGCATCTTTTTCTTTTTTTAATTAAAATCTAAACAGATGTCAAACCCAAGGTGGAGGAGCTGGATAAAGATCTAGCACACCGGTACACTCAAAATGGCAGCCTGGATTTTTCCAACAACGTAGCAATCAATGAAATGGAAGATGATGAAGATGAAGAAGATATGTCTGACTCAAACAGCCCACCAATTCCTTACTCACAAAAACCTGCCCCAGAAGGATCTTGCACTACAGATGGTAGGTTTGCACTTTTGAGTTCTTTTCAGCTTTGTAATGTAATATTATCGAATCTGTTTCCAATCTTTCCATGTGGTGTTCAAGGTTGACTACCACTCGCTGATGAAAGGAATGAGTGGCTGTGTCCTCACCCCCGTGGTCACTAAAGTTGTCTACAGGAAACTCAAGCCCCACCTTCTCTTGTAGACAAAGAGACTGAGGCTCACAGTTGAACCATCTCCTTGAGAGGATCAGTGCAAATGCAAGTTCACACAAAGGTGGAGGCTTCTCCAGTACTCTAAGAATTTACTCTCATGAGCTTTTATCAACGTTTCTCTGTGACCCCAGCACTGGGGAGGCAGAGGCAGGCAGATCTCTGTGAGTTGAGACCAACCTGGTCTACAAAGTGAGTTCCAGGACAGCCAAGGATACACAAGAGAAACCCTGTCTCACAAACTGAAACAAAACAGTGTTTTATCTTTCTCCTCCTTTTAGACCACCCCTGAGGTAGTGGTCAAAATTCTAGATGCCCTGACTCTACACCTACTTAGAACCTTTTTTAATATTACATTTATTTCTGCATTGTCTGTGTGTTGTGTGTTGTCTGTGGATGCCCATGACCCATGGCATGCAACTGGCAAGAGCAGGTTTTGTCCTTCCACCCTGGGGGTACCAGGGGTCAAAGTCAGATGGTGATGCTTGCTGGCAGGTACCTTTGCCTCCTGAGCCATCTCGAAGGCCCTACAGCTGCACTCACTGGGTGCAGAGGTAAAACATAAATCTTTTATAAATATTATAAATGGAAGTACTGTTTACAGTATAAAATGTAAATAGTTTGGGTCTCTCCGTTCTTTACGACTGATCTCGTTATATAGTGTGAGCTGGTCTGGGGTAGCCTGAGCTCTAGCTCCCAGAGATTTCCTTATTTACCTGCCTCTGCCTCCCCAGTGTTGAGGTCAAAGGTGAACACTACCATGCCACCTGATGATCTCATTCTATCTGTTCATGTCAGCTGTGTCTCCCGCCACAGTTTGAACCAGGAAATGCTGGTGTCTAATGTTTTCAGTGTTTTGTGCTCCCCTGATATCCCAACTTAAAGTTTTCTTTCCTCTGCCTAGTTGCTGTGTTCTGAAGGCTTACCTAGTTAGTGTGTGGGATGTGGGTTTTGTATTCAGAATAACATTAACCTGCATGGTGTCAATGTACGAGGAGACGTGGGGGAGGGGCAGAAGAAAGTTTCAGATCTCAAGACAGTTTTCTGCTAAAGCTTGGAGAACAAATAATTTGATGTCAATTAAAGCCTTATCTAGTTACAGCCAGAAAAACAGCTGACCTTGTTTGGAAGTTTGTTTTCTTTTGATTTCCTACTTCCCTGAGAATCTGACAACCCATAGAGGGATCCATATGCTCTTGCTAGAGAGGAAAAAGACCTGAATAATCCTCTATAGCTCACACGTATCCCTAGAAGGTGTACCCATTAGTGTTCTTCATGTTAGGCTTGCCCACAGCACATCACTCTTTATGGATTTCCTTCCTTACGAATGGCTCTCTGCCCAGACTTGATGTGGTGTGTCCTACTCATTATTGATGTGCCATAAGCCTTTAGAGCATAGAGACGTGGGCAGTGACAGCATTACGCTGCTGTTTTCTTGATTTGTATTCTCATTACACTTTTGCTTCAACTGAGCAGTCAGTCACCTCCTCAAGTAACGAATGGCATTGAACAGCGCTTTTGAGGATGGTGTCTCACTGAGAATCAAATTACATGTGATAATTAAATAGAACCAGAGAATTGTTTTTTCAAGGTCTGAAAAGAACTGTGTTGGCATTTTGATGGGAATTGCATTGAATCTGTAGATTGCTTTAGGTAAGATTGCCATTTTCACTGTTAATCCTATTGATCCATGATCATGAGAGAGCTTTTTTTTTTTCCATCTTCTGATATCTTCTTCAATTTCTCTTTTCAGAGACTTAAAGTTTTTTTTCATACAAGTCTTTCTCTTGCTTGGTTAGAGTTATGCCAAGGTACTTTATATTATTTGTGGCTATTGTGAAGGGTGTTGTTTCCCCAATTTCTTTCTCAACCCATTTGTCTTTTGTATACAGGAAGGCTACTGATTTTTTTTTAAGCTAATTTTGAATCCAGCCACTTTGCTGAAGGTGTTTCTCAGCTATAGGAGTTCCTTGGTAGAATTTTTGGGGTCACTTATGTATACTAAATAACAAGGAGGACCTAGGGAGGATGCTTAATTCTCATTCAGAAGGGCAAATAAAACAGACACTGGAAGTGGCTGAAGAGAGGGAACAGAACAGGAGCCTTCCATAGATGTCCTCTGAAAGACTCCACCCAGCAGGGGATTGAAGCAGATGCTGAGACCCACAGCCAAACTTTGGGCAGAGTACAGGGAGTCATATGGAACAGTGGAGGGATAGAAGGATTCGGAGAGGACAGCAGCGCCACAAGGAGACCAACATAGCCAACAAACTGGACCCAGGGAGGCCTGCAGAGATTGATGCACCAACTAAGGACCCTGCATCAGAGGACCTAGACCCCCTGCTCAGATGTAACCCATAGGCAGCTCAGTCTCCATGAGTAACGGTGCAAGGGCTATCTCTGACATGGACTCTGTTGTCTGCTCTTTGATCACTTCCCCCTGGCAGGGCAGCCTTTGCAGCCCACAGAGGAAGAGGATGCAGGCAGTCCTGATGAGACTTGATAGGCTGGGGCCAGTTGGTAGGGGAGGAGGGCTTCCCCTTCCTGAGAACTAGGGAAGGGGGAGTGAGGGAAGATGAAGGGAGTGAGGGACTGGAGTGAGGGTCTACAATGGGGATGTAAAGTGAATAAACTAAAATAATAATAATAATAATAAAATAAATAGAACCAGAGTGAAAACTTCGGAGATGATTTTGAAGTGAGCAAATTTTCTTCCAAAGCGTGGTAGAGAGAATTCCCTGCCCTTCAGTACTTGAGATCTGTTTTCAATTTAGCTGTGGTGTTATTTATAACCAGGTATTTTGAAAAGGTACCATGATGTACTTGATGACCTAAAAATAGCATGCCTTAAATCCCAGCACTTGGGAGCAGAGGGGATGGATCTCTGTGAGTTCAAGGCCAGACTGATATACACAGTGAGTTCCAGGACAGCTAGGGCTACATGTGAGAACCTGTCTCAAAGAAAACAAACAAAACCACAAAGTTAGGATATGCCCTGTGTATTTTTGTCTCACTCTAACCCAGGCTGACCTTTAACTTAAGCTCTAACTGTAAATCTTACTATCTGAGCCCCAAAAGAGCAATGGTGATTTTAAGGCGAAAAGCAGGCAATTTTTTTTTCTTCTGAAAATAAAGAAACGTCCCCCACCAAAGCAGAAGATTCAAACCCAACACATTCTGAAAACACTCATTCTGTAGTCAGATTCCTAAATTAACTGTTTCCAGTTTTTCTAACTATTGGCCATCTCTCCCCTACTTAACTCTTCCCCCACCCCTGTAAGATGGCATTTAAAATAAAAGGCCATTTATAAATTGGTATTTATATTTCACATGGTGTTATCATTTTTGCTCACTCCAAGATAGTTCTAAGAATCTTCCTGTGCAAAAAGGAAACAGCCCTGAAGTTGTGCTCACAAAACCAGCATTGAAACAGGGTACTATAATGCCTGTGCCCTTGTTTGAAAATACCACCTTCCAGTTCCTTGGAAACCCCCTGTTTACCTAAGGCTTAAGGGACTGTAAAGCTATTTTTAGAGGCAATTTAGATAAGCAGATACTTGACAGCTGATGGGCTACTGAGGCTTGCCATTCATAGGTAAATTTTGGTTGCTAATTTCTTATGTAAATTATTGGACTAGAGTAGGTTCCCAGCTGCCTGCTGGGAGGCAGCTGACAGTCTGTGCAGGTGACTAGCAAGCAGATTCTCAGCCTCTGAATGCAGCTTTGATTACTTTAGTTCGGGTTTACTGCTGTGTCAGTAAACTTTCCTTTCCCCCCTCCTATTTACACTGTGGCCTTCACGTTGGAGGTAATTAAGAGGACGCAAATCTCTTTCTATGAAGTGAAAACCAAGGCTATTTTCTTAAGAAGATGCAGATGTGGTTTATAAAGAAGGGCGCTCTGCTATCACAACCAAATTAAAACAAATTAAAATCATTTGCCACAAAAGAGAGTTGGCAGGAGGGCAACCTTTTGTCACCGCTCTCAAAAGTGAAGTGAGCAAGTCTGCAAAGCAAGTTGTTCTTCCTGTGCACAGGACGGGCTAGACTCCCGGGTGCTCTGAGGGCTGTCTGGTGGCTGCTGAAGATGGTCCTGTTAGCCTTCCAGCGTTATCTCCCCACCACGAAGGGTCCTGGGATGCTGTTGGTCTGGAAATCCAATCACAGTTCGTGGATTCTATAGCTAACAACTCTTCTTTACAGGCACAGCTTATTTTCAGTTTTTTATATATAGTAATTAAATTTTTTTTCTTTCTTTCTTGGAGATCTCTGAGCTATCATGTGTTTGTTGTGCTAACCCCTGACAGTGAAACTTTAGGGGAAACAGTCAGGAAATGTTTGCAGCAAAACTCCAGGCCTTTGGCAGGTGAACTTTGAATTTTTTAGTTTAACTACAAACTGAACTTCATAACATTCCTTTGATTCTGTGGCCATATTTGGCCATGGACTGATTTCTTTCTGACCCTATTCTAGCCTTAGTGTTGCTTTCTCTTTCTACCCCATTTTTTGGGGGTGGTGTTTCTGTTTGTTTGTTTGTTTGTTTTGAGACAGGGTTTCTCTGTGTAGCCTTGGCTGTCCTGGACTCACTTTGTAGACCAGGCTGATCTCAAACTCACAGAGATCTGTCTGCCTCTGCCTCCCGAGTGCTGGGATTACAGGCATGTGCCACCACGTCTGACTCCATTTTTTCTTTTTAATTAAATTGCCTGAGTCTTCTGTTGGCCAGTAACTAGAAGAAAGGAAAAGTATTTTACAGGACTATTTTTAGGAGCAGCTTTACATTTATAGAAAACTTAAGCCAGTGGTTC